TATAAAAAATTTCCCCTTCTTGGTTATGTATTCCTATGTAGGTGCTTTAAATGATATCATAAGTAGAATTGCATTCTTGATTTGTTTTTCAGCTAGGTCAGCTGTTGCATATTGAAATACTGATTTTTGTAGTTGATTTTCTGCTGAGTTCAGATACAACATTACTACTAATGGTCGCTTTTTGGGGTGGGATCCTTGGGGTTTTCTACATATTGGATCCTGCCATCTGAAGACAGAGATCATTTTATTTCTTCTAATTTGGATGTCTTTTGTTTTTTCCATTATCTGACTGCTCTTGCTACTCCTTCCAGCACTGTGTTGGACAGAAGTAAATGCAGGCATCCCTGCTTGCAGTAGGTCTCAGCTTTCACTTCCTCACTGGTTATGTTAGCTGTGGGTTTTCCTAAATGGCTTTGTTATGGCGAGGAACTTTCCTTCTAGACCTAAGATGTGTTTTTCTTTTTTCTTTCCTTTTTCTTTCCTTTTTTTTCTGAGACAGGGTCTCACTATGCAGTTCAGGCTGCTTGATCTCACTATGTAGCCCAGGCTGGCCTCAAACTTGGGGTGATCCTCCTGCCTCAGCCTCCCGAGTGTTAGGATTATAGGAGTGCCCCATTATGGCTGGCTTCTAAACCTACACTATAAAAGCTTTTATCAATAAAGGATGCTACATTTTGTCAAATGCTTTTTTCTGTATCAACTGAAATAATCATGTAGTGTTTATCTTTCATTCTGTTCTTGTGCTGTGTCTCATTCACTAATTTGCATATGTTAAACCATCCTTGCATCTCAGGGTTAAATCCCACTTGCTTATAATGTATACTCTTTTAGATATTTGGCTGAAACTGATTGCTAATGTTTTCTTGAGGAAACTTCAGATTAGAAATACTGGCCTGTCATTTTCTTGTAGTGCCTTTGTCTGGCTTAGTATCAATATGATGTTGGTGTCATGAAATGTGTTTGGAGGTCCTAGGTTGATGAATGCTTCTGCTTGCAAACTGTTCACAAATAAAAGCATTTGGTAAAATTTTGCTTCCATTAGCTCTGCATCAGATGACAAACCTGATCAACTTCTCCCATTGTAAAACAAGTTAAGTTAGAAAACCGAGGTACTACTGTATTCGGGTAGACTTGCAGTGAGGCACTTTGTGATAAACAGATGTGTTTTGGGTTGCAGCTTGGGCACTCGTCTCTAAAAGGTTTGCCATCCCTGCCCTACGCAATAGTCTTCTCTCACCCCTGGGAGGCATCTGGTGCAGTGTTTCCCATTTAAAAAAAAATATTTCCACTTGCATTTCTGAATTGAGTCTTTTTCTTAATGTAGCTAGAGTTTTAAAATTTTAGTTTTTATTTTTTTTTTTTCAAAAAACCATCTCTTAGTTTATTGGTTTTTAAAGATAGTTCCTTCTGTCCTATATTTAATTTCTATTGCGATCTTTATTGTTTCTTTCCTTCTGCTGGCTTAGGCTTAGTGTGTTCTTTTCCTAGCTCGAGGCTGAGGGCAGTTTATCTGCAATCTTCCTTTCTGTAATGTAGGCTTTTTTTCTTTTGTCTTAAACCTGTTCTTGCTTCGTCTCAGAGGTTATACGGTGTTTCCACTGTTCTCTTTTCATTTCTTTGAACCACTGGTCCCTTTCATGTACAAATGGGTCAGGTGGGCGGGATGCGGAGGCGCTGGTTCTCAGCGGACGGGGTGCTCTCGTCTCTGCGCGCACGGTGTCAGTTACAAGCGATGTCAGTGGTCATGGAGGATGTGTCGGTGGCCGAGGCTCTGGGAGTTGGGGCGGGGTGGACCGACAGGGCTCTTGGCAGCGAGGGCTTTAGGGATGCCCCTGTCCCCAGCTTCTGTGCAGTGCAGCGTCCTAGCCGGGCGATCCCTCCTGGCACGGCTGTGACACAGGCCACAGGCACAGCCGTGGTGGCACGAGTTCGGGCGCTGTGAGTGGCTGTGGAGCTGAGTCTTAGGCTCAGGGTCTTGCTGAACTGCTGAGGCACCTGTGGTGTGGTTCAGTTTTACCCTTTGGGCCTCCCTAGCAGTTTGGATCCAGGGGCGGGGGTGTAGCTGTGACACCGGAGGTCAGGGCACCGTGCTGGCATGGCTCTAGGGTGGATGGGTACTGTATTCCAGAGGTTCAGGGCCTGGGAGCAGGGCATAGCTGCAACTTGAGTCCTGAAGCAAACGGGCCACAGAGACAGTGCAGGCACAGGGGAGGGCGCATATAATGGTGACCCTGGCCCTCGTGGGTACAGCTGTGGCTCAGGCTCTGTGAGGGCAGGTGCGGTGACAGCAAGGACCCTGAAGTGGACAAGCACAGCTATGGCTTGGGGTGCAAGTGTGGGGCAGAGTGCGATGTTAGCTTTGTTCCCTGGGGAGGCAGGGTGCTGCTGTAGCTGACTCTGGAGGGCTGGTCCAGATCCAGGAAGGTGGAGCGCCGTGCGTGTTTAGTGCAGAGCGCGAGGTAGCACAGTAAACCAAGACTAGATTTTCTTGAAAGGGCATCACATGGGCTTGGACACCAGGACTGTGGCCACTCCTTTGGGTCAGAGCTCCAATTCCCAGGGGTCAAGGCGCAAGGATGGTTCGGGTGCTGGGTGGGCATGACTGCTCTGCCGGTGTAGGGCAGACTCTTGACTGAGTGACAGTGCCTGGTGTTTCAGAGGCCGGGCTCAGCACAGGCCCGGGGGGCTGGTGCGGCAGCTGCTCTCCTAGCCAAGGCTCCAATTCCCCGAGGCCCAGGTACCAGGCTGGTTCAAGTGCTGAAGGCGTGCAGCTGCTCCCCCAGCCCTGGCATGGGTCCTCTGGTGGTCTAGGGTCCCTGAGGGAAAAGGTGCTATAAAACCTTGGGTGCTAAAGCACAGCTCAGCCACAGCCTCTGTTCTGAATGGCGGCGGGGTATAACAGCATCTAGGATGGGCTGGTGTTGGTTGAGTGACTCCTAGGCAGTTTGTTCCAAGGGTGTAGGGAGCCGAGGCCCTTAGGCTGGCAAGGGTACGCTACCACGTGCGAATGCGGCGAGCTGATGGCAGAGCCTCGGGGTTGGAGAGACGCAGGGACTACCGGCCTCCAGAGCAGGACACATTCTGGTAGCAGTGGCTCAGGTTTCAAGATGGTGCAGTGCAGTAGCGGCTCGGGTCAGGGTGTGGGGTGGTGGGCTGGCCTTTTCCTTCTCGGGAGAAGTCTCTCCTGTTCTGAGCTGACCTCAGTGGGGGCTTTCTGTCACTCCCTTGCTATCTTCCAGCATCTCCACTAGTCACTGACTGAAATGTAGATGTTTGTTCCTTGTCTGCTGGGGTAGTCAGTGTCAGGCACCTTTATTTGGCCATCTCATTCCAACTACTTTAATATGGTAAAATGTATGCGAGTGGCATACACTCGTCTTTTATTTCTTTAGCACAGATGGACTCTAAGGATTGTGTTGATACTTGTTAGAAAGTAAGAGACAAACTTTATCTTGAGCACATGACAAGTAATAGGGCAGCACCTCTTTTCTCTCTTGTCTGAGAACTTGTAACTCTATGGAGGAGGGCTGGTTGGGGAAGAGCTCATGCATAACATTGGAAAGAATACTTAGAAGTATAAAAAAAGAAGGTATATTGTACTTAAGTTATATAGTTTTCCCTTCCTTTTCAGACAGTAATGAATACAGAGAAGTGGCTGTCATTTTGCTTCCTTTGTGGCTCTTCCTCCCCTGCCCACTTGTTAGACGGTGGGGCTTTCCAGGCTCCACCCTCACCCTGCTGCTCTGGGTGGGAGGATTTCACTGATCCCCACCTGTTTGTGATGGTGATCACTTTGCACCTTCAGTCCAGGTCTCTCTCCTGACCTCGGACCCTTGGATCTCACCACTTGCAAGACTGGCATTTACCTGGCTGGGGTCTGGTACACAGAGGTGTTCACTGCCTGGATGCACAAAAGTCTCAGTCCTTGTCTGTATGGCCCTGTCACAGCTGCGGTGGTACCTGTCCTCTGAGATGGAACCTACCATCCTCAGCTCCGCCCTTCCTCTACCCTCATCAGTTTCATTGACCTTTGGTCCTAAATAGTCCTAAACAGCACCCATACACGCTTTATCCTCTCCAGGCCTAGCACTTCTGTCCCAGTTCAAACACTCTTCTCCTGTCTGAACTACTGCGGCGGCCTTGTAACTGGTATTCCTATCTCCAGTTCAGTTACCACCAAATCCACCTTCCACGTAGCCGCTGTAAAGATCCTCCCGAGATGCTCCTGGGGTGTCTTCCATGATCTCACCCTCACCCTCTCTTCTGCCTGATCTCATCACCCCTCCTGCATTTGCATTTTATTCTGCAGCAATGCCAAATTGCTTATAGTTTCTTCCTCTCTCTCACCACCTTGCTCTTGCCCATGCTTTTGTTCTGCGTGGACTTCGACTCTATGACTCCATTCTGTCTTGTAAGATGCTGCTCAGGTGTGACTTGCTCCAGAAAGCTTTCGAGTCTCAACCTTTCTGTCCTCTGGGCAAATGAGGTATTTTTCCTCTGCGCTCTTCTGATACCCAGTACAAATCACCAGTACTCTACTTTCACTTCTGAGAAAACTGGCTCACTTCGAAGTAGTACGTTTAAATTATTTTGCTTTTTACACAAATGTATCATACAGAGTTAGACATTTCCTTTTTACCTCAAAGTAAGGGCAAGAAGGAAAGGCTGGATGTGAAGAGAAAAAGCCACAGCACAAGGAATATTTTTGGAGAAAGCCCAGACCCAGGGCTAGGATCAGGGTGATGCAAGTGAAGCACCTAGGGCATGACATGGAGCGAGGGCCTTGTCCCTAAATTTTCTCACCTTAGCCTGGCCCTGCCCTGGAAACCTTTAAAAAATGAGAACAGAAATAAATACAGGACATTTATTCTGACTTGTGCTTGAGTAACGTAATCAGGTGGGGGTATAATCACCTGGACAGTTAGAGACAGGCAGGAAGGAGAACCAAACAGAATGATGATTTTAGGGTGGGACCCGGGGCGGGGAGCGCAAGGACTCACCTCTGGCATGGAGCTCACTTCGTGCACCTGGCCGATGAGCTTACAGTAGGACTGAAAAAGCAACAGCAGCTGGAAGTGCAGTTTATACAACCTCTGACACAGTTCTAGTTGCTAAAGAGAGAATGTGCATGGGAAGAAATAGTTATTAAGGGTCGTTCTGGTGTAACTAGTGAAACCTCAGTGAAGACACTTTTTTTTTAAAAAAAATTAAGGCAACACAGCTAGCTGTTACTCCAATAAAACAGGAAAACAAAACCCAGTCAATAAATATTGGTGAGAAATGCATAGTTATTATGGAACCTTATATTCTATACGATAGAAGGTAACTAGTTAGAGAGGAGCAGCTATAAAAAAGACAGAACTGGCACGTTCCCATTATATTAGCAAATTAAATACCTACAAATTATAGCTGAGTGGTTGTATTCATTTTTATAAGCTATAATTACTGCTTTTAAAGTAAAAAATTTCTTTTTTACGGAAAGCCAAACATTACGTATTTTTAGGTGTTAAATTTATAAATTGAGCAGATACTTGAGCGACTACCCTTGTGATGGTCCTGGTTAGCATCAAGCAGATGCTCACCCTAACATCTGTGTCAACACAAGCCACGCAGTCCTCTCAATCACAGCCTTCTACTCTGTGCTCAACGTTTATTGTATCAGAGAGATACAGAGGCGGCCAAAAATGCTTAAGACACTATGAAAACATCTACACCTCCCATGGAAAGAACACTGAAAAAACAATCACTGTCCAAAATGCCCCTGGAGCCTCTGGAATTTAAAATGTTTTCATCATGCAGCTTATGTGTATTATGAAGAAAAAAGATCATGTGTGATCTCAGCACCAGTGACTACACTACTCTTTTAGCTTGTCCTCTCAGTTCGCCTATTTTGTTTCAACCATGGGTCAGCTCCTAGGTAGTGGAGTGTGTTCGGTGAAAGAACAGCCTTCACTACATAGGATTTGTTGGCTCGGCAGTCAGCAGGGACAGTGGGTTGTGTATGTGGTTATGTATGTATTTTTAAATGAAAAGTTGCACTGTTCACTTTTCAAATGGGGTAAAGGAAGGGTAGGTAGAGATCTTCTTTCAACATATTATAAAAAACCCGGCTTGGAATTGAGTGCTTGAGGGTGACTGCAGAATTTCCCCTACATCATTTAAAAAAAAGTGTAAGAATTTAAGTTTAGGAAGAATATTCTATTGCTATTATGAACTATCATATGTTTTATCCTAATTTTTTAGAATTACTAACATTCATGATCAGAATAGGCTGAAGATGTTTCCTTTTTGCTCCCGCTTTCTATGCTCAGCGGGGAAAACAATTCAGCTTAGATTTGATCCCTCGATGCTGGTAAGTAGCTTAGGTTTAAAGAAGTAGTTACACTTGCTAATTAACTCAAACTGCATCTTTGGTTGCTTTAGTAAAGTACTTCATCATACTGCCATTTAAATGTGGAAACCTTTTAAAATCTGGTATGAAAGAAAATTACAAGGACCTGCAAATAAATAAAAAGATTGTTTCAAAACAATTTTATATCATCTCAATTTAGGGTGAAACCTAGCTATGAAAACTCTTGACATTCCCAAGTACCAAATAATGATGGTTATTATTTAATATATCCTACTGACAATATGAGAATTCATAGCAATTAGGTTTCTACTTTGGGGCAAAAGCAGTCCACAATGCTACCGGTAAAACTGCCATGTTTCAATCTACCAAAGAAAATAAAATTAAATGAAAACGGGAAAACATGCGAAAAGATATAATAGTAACAGTAAAAATAAGGTTTGTTACGGACCCATGCCTACGTGGACCAAGAGTATGAAAGAAAGTTAACTTACTGCAAGAGATTCCATTTGCTACACAGCAAGCATGGCCCAGGAGACAAAGGAAAGGAAAGAAAGTACAGGGTCAGTGTACGCATGCAACAGAAAGCACGGCCCTCTTTCAAGAGAGAACCGTCAGCAGTAGTAGCGTTACTGGCCCACACCTGGTCAATAGCTGCCAGTGTTGTACCCATCCCACATGCACAGCACCCCAGTTAAAAACAAGCTCTAACAGGACACATTATCATTGAAAACACATAATTTTTTAATCTTTTAGGTTGCCTCATTAGTTGGTTTAGATTTTGTCAAATCAGTCTTGGAGACCAGAAATAAAAATTCTTACTGCTTGGAGATTTTAGTGTAGAACTATTATATGTAATATAGTAAAACTGTGAGAAAGACAGCTGAATAATTTGAAGAATATAATCTCAAATTATAGTATTGCTTTATATTAAGGTAGTCTTTAACGTCTGGTTTTGTAACTACTAAACTATGACCATACAATTAACACTGAATATACTTAACAATCCAAGTGGCATTTTCCTTGGTTGGCTTGGCTTTCACATTGATAACATTTTATAATACTGCTAGACATTGTAATTTCAAAGGAATAAACACTGTATACTTTATCCTCAAACACGTATGAGATATGACAAGTAATTTCCTGGCATTTGATTTTTTTAAATAATTTTTTTCTCCAGTATATAATTTCTAAAAGTAATTTAGAATTGGTAGTTAACAAAAATTTAGGTATTGGATAACCACACTTGAAGAAATATTTTTTGAAAATCAGTTTGCCCATTCCTAGTTAAAGGTCAATGTGTCTGGTTCTGAATTTTCAAAATATTTAAGGATCTGTTTCACTCAGTTTCTAATTCTTGAAAACAAAAACCTCTTTTCTGTAAAGCTCTTTCAAAAACTCTCTGGGTTATCAGTTTAATGTATTGTACTTATAAAATAGTTTAAAAGATCAAATAAAACTATCAAATTATTATTTATTAGTATCTACATTTTTATTTTTTATTTTATTATTATCTTTTGAGACAGGGTCCTCCTATGCAGTTCAGGCTGACCTTGAGCTCACTTTGTAGCCCAGGCTGGCCTCAAACTCACAACGATCCTCCTGCCTCAGCCTCCCGAGTGCTGGGATTACAGGCATGCGCCACCACGCTCAGCTTATTATGTAGTAACTGAAGGATCACCACAAATAGTGTCTGCTGCTGTCCCATTCAGGGCTCTCTGTTTCCTGTACCTGCTGCTAGTATCTATGGCGATTGGCACACTGATGGTTATTACATTGTATTTACTGAGTAGTTTTTGGGCCCTGGCCGTATATATCTCTATGCTTTGAAAGATGAATCTCTTTAAACCTATGATGCAGATTACATGGTTTAGGTAGTTATTATTTTCAAGGAAACTTTGTCTAAGTAGTTTCTATAACCAAAATTTATATATATCTCTATATATCTATATCTATTTATCTATCTATCTATATATATCACATGGGCACACAGGGTCCGTCATAACGTCTCCACGCACACAGCACTTCCACTGGGAAGACTTTTCAGAGAGCAGCAAATCTGACGGAAATGTTTAGTGTTCACGTAGCAAGTAGGTGCCTGTACCGTGCCATTTACTTTTCAGCAGTGTGGAGTGAAACACGTGCTGAGTAAATGACATGATCATGTGGTGAAGAAAACTGTCATCCTTTTGCTGTTTTAAAAAACAAAGGAGTAATCCAAGGAGGTCATCGCATGAGTCAAAGTAAAAGCTTCTCTGCCCAATAAAGGCAAGTAAAGCTCTCTGACTCCAGTTTGTGGTGCTAAGGAATGTCACTGTCACCGCGTTCCTCCCACCAGGCACTCAGGACATAAAATACTGTAGTGTGTGTCTTGGGAGATGGCCAGGTTTGATGAGCACCAGTTCTTGGTATCCTTTCTAAACTCTCCTTTTTAGGTAGGTTGCTTCAAGCTTCCTTGATATTTATCATCTTAGAACCTTTCCTATGCCATAGGTTGGGGCCTGACTTGCATCTACTGTCCCAAAAAGGTAGTGAACAGTGTCTTTCTAAGGGGCCATTACATGGAAGAGAGTAAAGCTTTCTTCCCCCTTGGGCCAGTGTCTTCCTGTTCCCAGGTTTTAAAAAATAGCCCTTTAGACATCTGTATAAATGTATCTGTGTTCTGGTGCTTTGAGGGTGTTTTGGCCATGTTGTGGGAATGTGATTATTTTCTTTGGTCTCAAGAATTTTATTCAAGCTTTGTTCCTTTTCTTCTGATATGGCTTGATTTATAAAATCAGTTTTGGAAGTATACTTCCTGAAAATGAGGAAGAAAAACATCCCAAGAAGCCATGGTGTTAAGAACTGATCATTAACTATTAGGGAATGGGCAGTTTAAAAAGAGCACAGTATCCTAGACATGTCTGCTTTCTCTTCATTTTGCCTTCAGACGGTTTCTATGCTTAAAGTTGGTCAAAGAAAGAAAAATTTGACGTGACTAAAGATGAACCACAGCATATATGGCTATTATTTTCATATTTACTTTGTAAAAGTCACGGGTTAAAACTAAATGGGATAAAATTTAGATTCTAGATAGGCAGGAAGTAACACAGGCTAATGACTAGGCTTCTCCCCTCAGAAATGAGTAGGTGTATCTAATCTCCTAAACACGCAGGAACAATGTGCACCTACTTGTTAATACCATGTGGTTTTGGCACATTGATTATTACGTTTGTTGAGTAATTATTCTGGACCTTCGTCATGAATGTCTGTCAAGGCTTGGAAAGATAAATACCTTGAAGCCTGTGACACGGAAAACATACCTTGGGGCATTTACTATTTTTAAGAAAACTATGAAATAATTTTAGGAGACATTTGCTTAGCACATACAGGAAAGAAGACTGCTTATAGAATAAAGACTGATCAACTGTATCTGGAGGAGGTTTAATGGATTACAGGTGAACTGGAGAAAATCCTGTCCAATATTTACCTTCTTCAACTTGTCTAAAACCACAGGTTGCGTACCCACCTTTGGCATTTTATAGTATACTGTTTCCTCTTTAGTGTAGCCAATAGCGTGCTCCCTCTCACTGTTATTTTAGCCATTAGGCCTCTGGCTGTATAAAGTGCAAATTACACTATGCAAAAGCAATTTTATCATGGGAATTAATCCAGGTTCCATTTATTTTCACCAAGTACCCACTGTCATCAGAAAATACCGAGCTGTATAAATGTTGGGAGAATTCGGCTTGGAGTTAAAAGATGGCAATAACAGAGATATTTGAGGGAGAAATTCAATCACAAATATGGGGGCTTTGGGTGGCTTGGATTTTTGAACAATTCATTTGAGCATAGATTGAAGGATAGGTCTGGGAGTTTTCCTATTGCTTTTTAAGAGAAAAAAAAATCAGCAGCTTAATTCACATTTTTATTAAAATGTGTAATTTTATACTTTATTATTTCAATGAAAGCTGTATTACAGGTATTAACTGTATTCTACTGTAATTTGAGCTCTAGTGAGCAAGAACTGGTTTTGTGAGAGGGGTTATATGTGGACACTGAGATTATGTTTTATAGAAATAAGAATTTAGAATAGTGATTTACAAATTATTTCTGGACCTTCTGGAAAATATGTTAACATGTAGATTTTCCTTCTACCTCCTATAGTGATTTTCAGATTCAGCTGGTTTAGGAAGAGTCCCATAAAATTGCATTTTAAACCAAGATTCCAAATGATTCTAATAGAAGTAACCTTGGATCACACTTTGAGAAAGAGACCATAAAAATTTCTTTGTTCTGAACATTTTCATGTCTGAAATTTCTTTATCATAATGGAAGATAGAGCACTAATGGAGCCACTGAAAGGCAAAAGGATTAAACCAATTCTTACAGATATTCTTACTGCTGATTTCTACTAAAAAAAATAAAGATTATCCTAATTAACCATGACGCTCAGCACTCTTCAATGTCTGTTAAGTTTTCACTTTCCCTTCCCTTCCCCTCTCTTCCGTTGCCCTCCTTTCTCTTTCCCTCGCCTTCCTCTTCTTCCTGTTTTTTCTTTTTTTCATTGCACTGTATCTACATTATTAGCATCTGTAGATACTACGTACTATGCTATCTGGTCTATAACCATGGCTTAGTCAAAGCTCTACAGGTAGTATATACTTTATGTTCAGTCCTAATGTTGGATATCTAACAAACGATTTTGTATGGTGACAGTGTATAGCAGATCTTTTTTAGAAGATTCATTAAGAACTGTTCATAGGAGCAATATTCCCTAAATGTATTTCTAACAGTTTATCTGTACCCTTTTATACCAGTAAACTAGTTTGGCTGGATATAAAACTCTTAGTCTGGGAGTTTTCCCATTTTTTCCCTCAATACCTTAATTTTCCTCTTCTTGAATGCCTTAAGTAATGTATCATTCTTGTCTTCTGGCATAAAATCCCAAAGTCAGATATACAGGGACTTGGCCTGTCTTTGGCTGATTTTATCAGTGCCAACAAACTGAGCATGGCAAAGTGCTCAAACCAACAGGAAAACTTGTTCTTGGCAGAAGTCTACATATTTTTTCTTTCTTCTTTCTTTTGGCCTTTCGGCCATCATGGTTTTGTTCTTACTCTTCTGCTGATATAATATGCATGATATTTCCATATACAAGATCTGAACTTCATAACAGGGAAAAAAAGAGGCAAGGGTGGAAGGAAGAATCACGGATGGAGGCTGTTTTGTGTATTATGCTGTCTACCTGAAAGACACTTTCACATTTTAAAATTTGTAAATGTGAAAGTGACTCAAGTCATTTCCTCAGTGGAGGTTTTTTCTAACCATCCCCGTTCCAGAGGCAGAACTGCCCTCTCCTAACATCTTCATGGTATGTCTTCCTGATTCTATAATGCCACCTTGGCAATTCAGCACTGTATACATAATCATCTTTATCTACTACATCAAAAGTCCTTTAAGAGCAGGGTCTACCTCTTTATCTCTTTAACTTCATATTCCTAGCACTTTTGATACACTAAGGGAACTCAAG